TAAGGCCGCCTTCTCGCATTTGTTTTTCCGCGATAAAAAGCGAAAGCCCGACGAATCGCGCGACTCGCGGAAACGAATAAACTGCGAATTGACATTTGAAACCGACAGAATTTTACACTTCGGACTCGGAACTATTAACGATTCACGCAGGACATGTTTATTTGGGAAAACATAAACTTGGAAATATTTTTAAAAATACAACATAAAAAATAAGAAGAGTAGAAATTTAACGTATTTAATGCAATTAACGTTTTTTAACGTATTTGTTTATGCTCGGGGAAAACTAGTGTAAAATATAATTATTATCGCTTATTATTATGAATTAGATTGAGGCGGCACTCTCTCTCTCTCTCTCTAGAAAGATAATGATATTTATATAATGATCTAATTAAAAAAAGGGGCAATAGGGAATTGCACATCGTATTGTACTACATACACTATAAACGCCCATTGTCGTTTTTTGCAATAACAAAGGTCGATCGATAAACGACATACAAACCATATATGTAACGCAAGAAAAATATTGTGACTTCCCCCACATATCCTCTCCTTCGCTAGATGCAATCGTCATAATGCACTCCTCTCTTCCTTATCTTTCGCAAATAAATTCGCTCGCGAGTAAATTAAAGTTCAACGTGCGGTACGTGCGCATTCATTCATAGAAAACCGCCTGGTGCAATTTACATTACAGCCATCTAATTTATCACGCCCTACGCCATTACGTCGAGTCCACCGGTACCAGTGTGAATAACGATTACTTATACTATACTAATATACGAAGTGTCCTGGAAAATGAGAACGAACGCGTGTATTCTCGTCACAAATTTTCAAATTCAATATTGTCTCTATAAAAAGTGTAACCGTTACTTTAATTACGACGTTACTTTAATTACGACGTTACTTAATAATGAAAATCCACGAGTTGACAAATAAAGTTTCGCAAATAAGACGGAAAAATCATTCGCTTAACTTAAAATCGATTTTGCTCTCTTACAAAGAAATTTTGTTAAATATATAGTAATTTGAGATTTATTTAATGAATTAAATATCGAGAAATAATTAGAGGCGCAATTAATATATTAAATAGAGAGAACAAACTTTTTACTAGATAAATACATATAAGTCTCCCTTGATCTTAAGAGAGACATCTTTCAAATTATATTCCATTATTGCAAAGCTAATAAAATTCATGTACATAACCAAAGTGCATTAACAGAATATATAAAAAATCTCTGAAAACGTGAAACTACATTCAAACATTTATCGATGAGATAATTATAAAATATGGGGAAAAGGGGAAAGAGCCTCTAATGTATATATTAATTTATCTATGGCTATTATTTTATTAATGCACGATGCATTGTGTGCCTTTAACAATCGTTTCATTCTTTATTAATGCGCCTCCATTCATCATATTCTTTCATTTTACAAAACGAATCGCCCGTTTCGCGGAAACGCGCTGCGACAAAATGCCAGCGCGATAAATTCTATCTAATGTACTCGTAATTAAATCCACTCCCGATATACGTAAAAGTTCATTCATAATCAAGAAACGGCCGCGCAACGTGCGCCTTTTAGCAACCTTCTAAGTATTGTTATGCAACAAGCGTAAGCGCACGCGTGCTTGTTTTAACGCACGTTAAGCCTGCATAAACGAACGGCTTTTATATGAAAAAGGAATCACACAATTTTAGATATTGTTAGAGTTCTAAACATAGAGAATTCCTGTGCCAATATTTTTACACAAAAAAATCTAAGCTCGTAATAAATAGTATGCAAAAAAAGCACACCCAGTCTAGTAAACATATAAAAAGATATATA